CATGTTTAGTAACAGGAGTCCAGATTACTACTCAAACTCCACCGTGCAACTGCGATATTTTATGTTAGCGACTGCCTCTGATTTGTTTGAGATATGGACCCATGGGGGCACAGGTTTGCTTTAATACGGCTTCTGCTGCTTTGTTCTAAGAAGGATTCTGAAGAAGTGCACGTGAAGCTCAGAACATAATTCATTACCTTGGTAAAAACCAGAATGAAAACTAACACGCCAATCTTCAGGCACAAATGACTATTCTAAAATACCACATTTCGTACCAATTTTTCCAGTTTGGAGATCATAATCAAAGGCATCCACTGAGTAGGTCAAGCTGTCAATGTAAAAGAAGGTTCTGTGATCCAGCGACCAGTCCAGCCCATTGGAAATGTCCACCTGATCAAAGTGCTTCACCACAGAGTGGTCAGGGCACAGCGTGTACAGGGAGCCCTGGCGAGACTCCAGCACTGCGGGTCGAATCTCTTCAGCCATCGTACCTGTGCAGGGCAGAAAGCAGGTTCAAAGGGAATGAACGGGGTTTGGTGGCAGCCCCTCGCTGTGATGATGCCCACGCTGCCAGTAGGAGAAGGGAGCAGCGGAGGGGCTTCAGAAATTCAGGGAAGAACGAAAGAGGAAGGCAGATTTCAGAAGTGCCTGCATTTAGCAGATGACAAAACAGAGCCTTTGTTTTGACTGCTGAAATGGCATGCAGTCAAACTTCTCCAAAACGCTTTTACTTTCAAAAATAAAGAAAGGTGTTGGCAACATTTTATTTCCAACATACCTTAACATTTGGTATTGAGGAAGCATAGGAAATACCTTCCCCCAGAAACTGTCTTACAAAAACAAATCTCATCTTTGTGGCTCTACGTTGTCAGCAGACAGTGGTTCTTGAGAGGATGCAGAAAAGCAAGCTAAGGTAAACCTGAAGACCTAACTGCACAGCAGGCACACAGAGCAGTGCTTTTAAAGCCAGGAGAGAACCAGGAGATGGCTGAGACAGGAAGATACCTCTGGCTGTCATCTAGTCTCACCCCTGCTCAGAGCACATTGCTCAAGACCAAGGTCAGTCTGGTCTTCAATATCTCCACAGATGGAGACAGCATAGCTGCTGTGGGAAACCTGCTCCACTGCCTGACCATCCTAACAGATGACCAGCAACAGAGTTCTCTTACATTTACACACGATTTCCTTAATGTCAGTCTACAGCCTCTTGTCCTGAGTACCACTGAGCAGAATTCCAGATCCCCCTCCTTAACCAGCACCCCACGAGGTTCTTACAGCCATGGGTGAGACACCCCTAAGCCTTCTCCTCTCTGTGCTCCAGTGTTTCCACTGGCACTTTGTCATTCAAAATGAGCACACCAACAGGGTGAAGACAAGGTGTCTTAAACTAGGCAGACCCTGAATAGTAGCCCTCTTTTTACAAAAAGAATCCTGATTAGGTGGTGGCCAGGTGATCCAAATACATTTCTAAATGGGACTGAATAATGGAAGACAAAAAAAATCCTTACTATAAACTACATATAAAAATACATGTAAACTATTTCTAATATTAACTATAAACCAACACTACATCTCCAACTGACTGCTGCATGCCGACAGTAAAACCACAGAGGAGGAGCATGGCAAGGACTGAGCAGCCACAGAAAGGAACCAGGTGCAGCATACCTGCAAAATACCTCCCTGCAGGATCTACTTTCCCATCGTTGAATCGGTTCTTTGCTTTATCTCTGTCCACCTGAGCAATGGGGGTTACCAATTGCTCTTTCCATTTCAAAGCAGCAAACTTGGTTCCCAGCGTGATGACATAATCCCCCGACTTCCGAAGAGCCACAGAGCTCACAGGAGCATCTGGAAACAGGAAGGGAGGAAAGTGCCAGTAATGGCAGATTAGTATACAATAGTTAAATAAAAACTAAAAAATCAGTGTGAAGATAACATCTCTGTAAAAGCCTCCAATAAGATGCAACATAAAGGAGAGCAACTTCAAATAAAGCAATAAAATCTGAGATAGGATTTAACAGAAAAGACTTAGGAATATGCATGGGACTGATCACCAACTCTCTAACTAAAACATTTGCCATATTTATAGCTTTGCAGAGATATAGTTTTGCTAATGCAACCACCATAAGCCATCCATGCTGCCAAAAGGAGCTGCTCCCTGGTGGCCACCAGTTCGTGGCACCCTTTGGTTTGTAGCCCCACCAGACACCACCACACAAGAAACACAATGCAGGCACTGCCCAACTGCATGTGTGCATGGGGAATGGGGAGCAACACGAGGGCAGAGCTTTAGGGTGTGAAGTGTTCCAGCCACCGCAGTGCTTCCCAGACCCTTGCTTTCTCCATGCCTCTATTTGCAAAGAGGGCACATTCACCTTTTCATATGACTTGCTGCACTGAACCAGGGCTGCCAGGAGCTCTGCTGGGCCCTGCTGAGGATGTACACGTGCAGCAAAGACAGCACTGTATCAATATGGCACCCTCGTCTCCCCAAGCAGCAGGGTCACAGTGCCACCAGCCCCAAAACTCTGAGGAGCAGCACTCATTCCAGGCTCAGTTTGGCTAACTGCCCCACTCAGGTGCGTGAGCACACTGCTGAAGCTGCAGGTAGTCCTGGCTCAGCTGTGCTGGCAAGTGGATGCTGCTTTCTTCTTCCTGGTAAAGCACTGCAGGAGAAAGGGTACAGCAGGCCGAAAAGATGGAAGCAGCCGCACTGCTCCACTTAAACACAGTGTAAGCAACCATACCAGCCCTCATGTCTGACTTGGCCGCAGCCACCTAGAGGGCTTTGCTGAGGAGCACTCATTGGAACTGCCCTTCTTTGCAACACCATTCTAAGCTGCACAGGAAGGTGGCTGTAAGGCCATAGCAGTCTTCTGCCTGATGAGCAGAAAAGAGCATCTAAAGCTGTTGCTAACTGTAGGGTACCATAATTCTCTGTGAGCCTCAGTAATGCATCATTTCTCTCTCGTTTTCCACTTTGGACATCAACCCACTGTTTTAACTTTGTGGCACTCTCTGAGTGTTCTTTTTTTTTTTTTCTGTCTATACATTGTGCTATTCTCAAAGGCACAGCTATTCATTATGACTATCTTACTACTAAACAGAGGAAATGGAAAGTAGTTAAAAATACAAACAAACAAACCTGAGCAGCTACTTTAGCTGCTATCCCTCCTACGTTTGCAGAAGCTGATCAGGAGACCTGAGAGCAGCCTTTCTGTATCTAAATGGGGACTATAAAAAAGAAGGGGACGGACTCTTTAGCAGGGTCTGTTGTGATGGGACAAGGGGAAATGGTTTCAAACTAAAAGAGATTTGGGTTGTATAAGTAAGAAGTTTATTTACAGTAAGGGTGGTAAGGCACTGGAACAGGTTGTCCAGAGAAGTGATGGATACCCCATCCATTCAAGGTCAGGCTGGATGGAGCCCTGACCACTCTGATGTAGCTGTCGGTGTCCTTGTTCATTGCAGGGAGGTTGGACCTTTAAGGGTCCCTTCCAACTCCAACAGCTCTATGATTCTCCAGTCACACCACCTGTGTGGCCCAAGCCAGGAATGCAGACAGTGGGCAGTGGCACTGCTGCAGCCAGGTCAGGGGAAGGGAATTTGGGAAATAATGCTTCCAAATCAGCGTAACTCCTCGTCTCATCTTGAAGCTGGTAGCTACGCTGATTTTAGGGTCAGAAAATCCAGGCCAAGGAGGTGTTGGGTAGGCAAATCAAGTGTCTTTCACCATGAGTTACTGACATAGCATTAAAACCCAAGCTAAAAAATGTCAGGAGCTGTCCTGAGACAGACCCACAGAAATTTACATTATCACTTCCAGAAGTTAATGTGCAACTGTTTATTAGCGCTAGCACGCCTCTTCTTTTCTGGAACAAAGCCCTAAACCATTAAACACAACCAACCATTGCGCATCACAGAATTACAGAATGGCCTGGGTTGGAAGGGACCTCAAGGATCATGAATCTCCAACCCCCTGCCACATGCAGGGCCACCAGCCTCCCCGTTTAATACTAGACCAGGCTGCCCAGGGCCCCATCCAACCTGGCCTTAGACACCTCCAGGGACGGGGCATCCACAGCCTCTCTGGGCAGCCTGTTCCAGCACCTCACCACTCTCTCTGTACAGAACTTAAAGAACTAGCATCACCAAGCATCACAGCAGCTCCTTACCCATGGACACAGCCTGCACCTGCCCGCCGGCCGCATCCCAGCGGCACACCTTCCTGCCCGTGATGTCCACGTACAGCAGCGAGTTCTCCTTCTCGTCCCACACCGGAGACTCCCCGAGCCTGCAGCGGTCACTCCCGATACACTCGATCTTAACGGAGGACATGCCTGAGGGGAAAGCACAGCTGTACACATCTGCGGGCAGCGGGAGGGCAGCGCGGCAGGGCACACGCGGTTCTCCACCGCGAAGCCGTCACGGCCAGCACGGGAGCCGCTCGGCCCAGGTCCGTGCCCGGCCCTCCCCGGTCGCTCTGCCGCGCCTCTCGGCGCCGCAGCTCTCGCCGGGCGTTGCGAGTGGTACCTGAAAGAAAGAAAGAGTCGATCCCAGCGGTAACAGCGCGCCTACCTGCTGCCGGCCCGGCCCGACGCCGCCGCTCTTATACGGCGGGAGGCGGGGGAGGCGGCCACGCCAGCCCGCGGCCGAGGGGCAGCGGCGCGGGGCCGGGCCCGGCTGGCGGCCCTCCCCGGGGCACTGCGGGGCGGGGGCCGAGCCGGGCAGAGAGCCGACGGCGGCACGGCGCGGGATCACGTAGTCGCAGTGCTACTTCCGGAGCCACTGAGACACGAGGCGGGCAGCTGGGCTCTCGTGGCCCTGAGCCGGGTCTGCACACAGAACAGTGCGTTTCACTCAGTGCTCTCACCTCGTTCATAGAATGACCAAATCCTCCCCTACGACGGACAGGCTGAGGGAGCTGGGCTTGTTCAGCCTGGAGAAAAGAGGGCTGAGGGGTGACCTCATCTCATTGCAGCCTTTCAGTACCCAAAGGGAGCCTACAAACAGGAGGGGAATCAACTCTTTGAAAGGGTAGATAACAGCAGGACAAGGGGAAATGGTTTGAAGTTGAGGGAGGGGAGATTTAGGTTGGATGTCAGGGGGAAGGTCTTTATAGAGAGAGTGGTGAGGTGCTGGAACAGGCTGCCCAGAGAGGCTGTGGATGCCCCGTCCCTGGAGGTGTTCAAGGCCAGGTTGGATGGGGCCCTGGGCAGCCTGGTCTAGTATTAAATGTGGAGGTTGGTGGCCCTGCCTGTGGCAGGGGGTTGGAGATTCATGATCCTTGAGGTCCCTTCCAACCCAGGCCATTCTATGATTCTGTGACCCAAGGCAAGTTATTACTGACTGCCAGCACAGAAAACAAACATCCAGGAAAAAGAAGTGCCACAGTAGCTCTGGGTTTTGTGTATTTCACAAAGGAAGTTAAAAAATAAAAATAAAAAAAAAAAAATCACTGAGAATTTAATCATAGTATCATGGTTGGAAAAGACCTCTGAGATCACTCAGTCCAACCACCAGCCCATGCCCACTGACCACGTCCCTCAGTGCCATACCCACACGGCTCTTCAGCACCCTCAGGGACAGTGGCTGCACCACCTCCCTGCACCATCTACCTCACCACTCTTCATAGATGAAAATTTTCTCATTATCCAACCTGAATCTCCCCTGGCACAATCTGAGGCCATCATTCCCTCTCACCCTATTGCTGTTACCTGGTTCAAGAGGCCAACTCCCATCTCATTACAACCTCCCTTCAGGTAGTTGTGGAGAGTGATAAGGTCTCCCCTGAGCCTCCTCTTCTCCAGACTTAACAATCCCAGTTCCTTTAGCCCATAAGATTTGTGCTCCAGACTCCTCACAGCTTCATTACCCTTCTCTGGATACTCTCCAAGGTCTTGATGTCTTTCTTGTAGCGAAAGGCCCAAAACTGAACACAGTACTCGAGGTGAAGCCTCACCAGTACCAAATACAGAAGTAAGTTGAAACTCAGCTGTCGCTTTTCACAAAGCTCAGCCATATGTGCTGCTCTCCAGGTGCACACAAGTGGGCCCATTGGGTGCACGGCCAATCAACAGCTCACTGCCTTTGCCAGCAGGAGATGCTCACAGCCCTGCCCCACTTGCAAGCCTCTGTGCTCTTCAATGACCTCGGCCTTTGCCAGTGTGGTTAGAGAACATCTAAACAGGCTGTGTATTGACACACACCTTGGGTGAAAATTAACAGATGATGCACGCTCCAGGTTACAACACCAATTCTCCCTTCTGCCAAAGCATCAAATATTTTGAACTTAGACCTCTAGTTATGTGGCACAGTGCTCCTTTGACTTTTCTGTAATTGCTAACTCAGGCTTGCTAAAAGACAAAACCTAGGAATTTGTGGCTTCATTCACTCATGAGTGACTTCATGAAGACTGACTTGGCCTCAGGTTTAGCAGGAGAGGAAGAGAGATGCCAAAGGAGCTGGCCACTTCCCACTGCTGCACTGCAACCACAATTTTGACCACACGATGGGTGCTAGGGGGCACACAGCACCCCTGTGGCTTCTCACCAGCCAGTGGCTCAGAGGTGCTTGATGAGCCCGCCTGTTGCTGCACCTGGTAGGGCTCCTTGCACTCACTGTAATCCAGCTGTATGGGAGTGGTGCATCATCACAACCACTAATAGCACAAGGCATGAGAGATCCCACAAGGGGAAAAAGTAGCCCCACCCAACAAGAGAGGGTGGTAGACAACTTCATGGCTTGTAAAAAGAAAGCAGTTCTTGCATGTGCAGCTTCCTGAGAGGCTGCAGTTCTTTCTTCTTTTTCATGAGCTCAACCCTGCTGTTTCTTCATTTTTAGAGCCATCTCTGTCTTTTCTTTATTTACTTTTCTTAGTATATAGCTGGGGAAAGCAAGATGAGAAGTGGACATTGCCACGTGTTTGTTTTCAGCCAAACATAATTCATGGAATGAGCTTTCCTACCTGGATCAAGCTTTCATCTGTCAGCAAGCAGCAGGTAGGTGAGCATGCTGAGAGCTCACAGCCATGTACTGCTCTGGGTGATCACAACCATGTCTGTAAGCGCTCACATGATTTGAACATTTGCCAAACTCAGCATTTACCTGCTTTGCCTCCTTGAGAGAAGGCAGCACAAGGCTGGTAAGCAGCAAACTTGTGCCCGCTGATTATTTTATATGGTATCTCAAGTCTAACACACCTTGCTAGCACGCTGTCAAGGAAGTGAACGCAGAATGGATTAGGAGTCCTAAATGGGGGAGATCTTTTCTAAAAAGGATTGCACCAAGTTACCATGAAGTTGTATCAAAGCATTTAGCCCTAGAAGACCAGTTCCTGTCACAGAACTATCAAAGGTACCCTTTACTTATTAAGATTTATTGGGCAGGCTTCTTTAAGCATTGCTTCTTGTGTACTGGGCACAAACCCAAGTAGAAGCATCGCAGAATGGAGTGCTATAACCGAGCACACGGTGTGGCCCCTCTCGCTGCAGATGGTTTCTCAAACACCGCTCACACTGCCACATGTGCCTCCCGGCTCCTATGTCAGCACAGCACCTGCTAGCACTAGTTCCTGCCATCCCAGCCACCTCACAAAGCTCGAGTGTCAGGCCAGGCCTCCCCAGCTCTCCGCTCCGCCAGTGAGGAACAGGGTGCCTCAGAAAGGGTGAGCATTCTTCCAATGGAGCATGGCCAAGAAATGTTTCCTAATGCCTTGCTTTCCTGCTCTTTGTACCCCGTGTGGCCTGGATTTGCATTTTGCTTGCCTTGGGAAAAAGAAAGATCATTGATACGTCCTGTGGCAGCTGCAGAATTACAGCCACAATGGCGGCAGTATCAGTAACAGTGCCTTCAGTGTTCGCAGCTCTCAGGCACACAAGCCCTTCTTCATGCCCAAGTCAGAAGCAAACCTCAAATTAACTGCAGGTTTGGAATAACTGCTCTGAGTTTAATTCAGTGCATTCAATCAGACAATTTGAGAGAAGTCTGTTTTCCGGACTAGCTGCCTGTGACCCATGTAAACGATGACTTGCATCACCTGGCCTACCCATTTCTCCACCTTTAGTCTTATTTTGGCCAGGGGAGACCAGGGGACAGAAGGTAAGCCTGTGTCCTTTCGGAGATAGCAGAACAATGCTGAGCCATCAGCTGGAGGAGTGGAGCTGTCTGGCTCATCCATCCAGATGCAAATGGAGCCTAACTTATCAGTGATGGTGGGAAGCACCACCCCAGGAGATAAGAGAGGTGGAGCCATGGAGGAATGCGCCCAGACCCAACTGATCAGGTGGCAGCGGGTGCCCATGGGAATGATTTCTCCCCTCAGCTATCTCATCCCTGCATTTCTGGAGCCAACACCATTTTCCCAAGTGGCACACAACACATTCTCTTTTCCTAAGTGCCATCCCCAGCAGACTCCCTGCGGTTACCGAGGCCTCGGCAAATATGAGGAGTGGCGTCTTGATGTCAGTCACAGGCTCAAAGGCTTTTGGACGACCAGAAAGTTTCCTGAAGACATCTTTTATGCATTGCTGTTGTATTAGGTTTGGAATTCCTCCTGAGGTCACGGGCCCACCAGTCTGGCTGGAAGAACACCTCTGTAGCCATTAGGGCACCCTGTAAAGGAGTGCATGTCGCGGTGCCCAGTGCTCATCTCCAGGATGAAGGCAGGTGGGGCAGCACCTGGGGGAAAACAAGAGACTGGAAAAAATGTCTCGAGGATGGCAGGGTAAAAAGAAGCCATAAAGGTGTCATTAGCAAGCCTAGCAGATTTAGAACAATGCCTCAGATAAGGCAGCCCAGCCAAAACAGATACCGGCTTCAGGGCTCTGGGAGAACAACAGCCCCAAACAAAAGGCAGAAAGGCAGGGCAAGGTGGATCTAGGACACAGCCCCAGCCATGAGAGGCCTGCTGGAGAAGGAGATTATCTGGAAGCTTTACTCATAGAGGCAGAGAAATTAATGGGCAAATACCTAAGGCTGCTTCTCCTTACACAGCAATATAAATTTACCCAAGCTACATGTGAAGGAATTATCTTTAGAAACACATGCATGCACATCTGCTATTTGAAAACAACTGCTATGTAATTTTTAGAGGAAAAAAATAGTTTTGCTTCAAGAAACTGTGCTTGCTGTCTGTCCCAGCAATCTAGTTCTGCCCTATCACTGAAGAAGAGTCCACTTGCTGGAGTGGAGTGGAGCTCCTGGAGTTATTCCAGGATAGAACCACAGAAATCGTTGGGTTTGGAAGGAACCTTTGAAGGTCATCAAGTTGAATTCCCCTGCAGTGAATGGGGACACATACAGCTACATCAGGGTGCTCAGAGCCCTGTCCAGCCTGTTGGGGATGGCCCAGACTAGTGGGCAATGCTGCAGAATTGCACCCTAGAAGGTGCCAAGGTTTGCTGTGTCATGGTGCTGGCATAAAGGAAGATTAAGAAGCAGAACCAGAACCCAGGAGCCTGCAAGTCTTCACATATCCCTAAAGCAGCAGTACTAAGCCACCCCATTGTTCCTTCTCTCTGCCCTTTGCCAGTACTTCTCCCTTGCATGCCTAGCTTCCAGATTGTGCAAGGAGCTTCCTCTTACTCATTAATTCACATCAAATGAGTGTTTTCCCAATAGATGTGTCAATTCCCTGCAGTGCTATACCCATCACAGGTACTAGGATCGTCTCAGTTCACACCGATCGTGATGACTGGCTTGTCATGTTATCTCAGTTCACATAGGTACATTTAGTAATTCAGGTACTGCGCACGCTTCTTGCTCTGCCACCTCTGCCACACAGCCTGCATGGCTGGGCATCACCCATGGTGGCAGTGAGATATGACATCAAAACCAAGTGTGAACTTTAAAGGTTGTTTTTAATAGTCAAGCATTTGTCATTTCTCCTTGTATGGTTTGGGATTCATGATGCAAAGGGAATGTTATACAAAGGATGCATGTAATGGCAGAGCCAAAGCACCAGTTACAGTTGGAAAGTGTTTTCTCTTTAGGCAAAGACAAATCCAGAGACAGTGGTGCTGGGAATCACCATGAAGGCCCTGCTTATGTTTGGGAGAGTTCGGCCCAAGTTACCATCAACAAGTAACCAGACTGTCATAGCTGTAGGAATTCTCATTTCTAATGACTGCAAACCAGCAGCACCTGTTCAGAAAGGAAACAAATGGCAATACGCATGTCCTTCTTTGTCTGTCTTTCCCACATCCCAGGGACAACCGGACTGAACTTTCAAAGAGATGAGAGGCCACCAGTCAAAAAGCCACTAAAAGGCAGCCCCTTGCTGGAACCAGCAAGTACACCTTCAAGGAAGAAATCTTTGTCCTAAAATATCAGCTTACATTCTGTCACTCATGGCATCTTCCTACTGCTGTTCTTTTCCTCTCCTCTGTACGCACCTTCATTCCCCTTTTCCTTCTTCCATTTGGTTTTCTTCCCAGCCGTGGGGCTCAGTGCCCTGTTCCAGCTGTCCCACTCCAGCTGGAGTTAGTTCGTCCACTCACACACACATAGTTCAATGCTCTGCTCCTGTCTCACTTCACCATGGCCTCAGGCACACACACACCCCGTCCCCGTCCCTCCTGGGCAGGAAGGATGCTGTTGGGGTTGCACAGCTGTTTGCTCTCTATCCTTGCTTTAGCTGCCTCCTTTCCTGCTTTCTCCCCAGCCCTGGGGCAGCAGCAGCTTTGGTCAAGCAGCACGGTACACCATAGCATCAGCCTGTGTGAGGAGGGGGAACTACAGCAGTACATCAAGCAAAACCCACACACAGCAGCAGCCCGGGAAGGGGCTCATGCCAATCTGTTCCTTGGACAGCACCAGCCAGTTATTTGTGCACGTGTGAGAGCGTACAGGAAGAGGGATGAGGCAGGCAGCCAGGCCTCAGATCCCTCTCTATAACTTAATTTGTACAACCAAAAGAAGCAGACATACTAAAACACGAGCAGACAGACAAAAAAGTGAGACCAGTGCAGCAAATGGTCTGTCACATTTGCTGGGCTAGGCAGAAACCAAAGCCAGGCATGGACTATTTGCTAAATACAGCACATCAGTGCTCAGCGACTTTTTGGGGGGCAGGCTGAAGGGAAAAAGTTTTCCTTCACGTTTTGGCTTGTTAAAGTGTTACAAGCTCAAGTGGAAATGATTTACTCCTGATGGATGCGGCGCTGCTGTTGGACTGATGAGTTTAATAACCTACGGACACGGAGAGTGAAGCCCTAAATAAATCACAACAAATGAAAATACTGTTAGCAGTTTCATAATTTAATGAAAAAGTACTTGTAAAAAGGGGACATCTGAAAAAGACCGAGTCCATCTTGGAAAATTGAATATATATATATATATTTATATATATAAAACAAAATGCAAAAACAAAAAAAAAAAATAAAAAATCAACAAATAAGGTTAAGAGGTAATACTTCAAACAGTTAGCCACCGAACACACAATAAAAACTAGCAAATGCACTTTGGGAACAATACTTGAGAACTACACAACCAAGGGCTCCTTCATATATCTATTAAAATCACATAAAAATTAGCAAAACCGTTGCCCAGGAATGAATAACCCCAGAAGAGCAGAAACACTGAGTTTTGCTGAAGCACCATTTTCCTCACCTCCTCCACACGCTGCTGGCCACAAAATGACATGGACACTTTGCTCACCTCCCAGTGCAAGCTGCGTGGAATTTCGTGACCAGGAAGAGGATTGCTAATAAATATCGAAGGAGAACTTAGAGAATCAGAACTGGAACACAAATGAACAGACATCTGTTTCCTTATTCTGAACGGCCCATGGCTTAGAACGCAAAGCATTTCCCTTTAAAACAAAATATGGCGAAACCTAAAATGCTACTGTATATTTACACCAAAAGAAATAATTTTGAAGATACAGCTCTAGAAAGACAAATTACACAAATATACATAAAATCAAGAAGTGGGAGGGAAAAAAGAAAAAAATAAGATGCATGAAGCAAATAGATTAGAATTGCCAACTATACTGGGTTGTATTTTTTTTATTGTTATTTCACTACAGAAGAGTCCTCCAGCCTTGACCTGCTAATCCTATTGCAAGTAGAGAGATTTCAAAGGTTAAACCAAATCTGAAAATGTTGCTGTAATTTCCTAAGCAATAATTTAAGATGATAAAGGAAAGCAAGCTGTTGTTTGGGTTCTGCATAGTCATCTTTATGTGGGGTGTGAACCTTCCTAGACAAAATGAGCTCAGTAGGGACAGAGGGTGCTGCAGATGGCTGGAACGTGCAGCACGGCTGAGCACTACTAGTGCAGTAGTTTTGCCTGGAAAAGGAGAAATTTGTCTCTATTCAAACAAAAAAATCCCGGATCACATAAACAAGCCAGAAGGGGTTTCCCCTTGCTTCTCACCTCCTCCACACCGGTTGAAATTTAAACACCAGTTAACAACTGGCTTTAAAGCACATGCAAAAAGCTTTAGTTTGGGAAACAGCAACTGATCCAGAGGTTGAAAAGGAGCTTAACGGAAGCAATAAGTTTTCAGCAATAAAAAACATACTCCAGATGATGACTGGCTAAAATTTTACAGTCCTAGATGCCAGAAGCAGGGCTCTTAAGCCCACATTTAGGCAGCTAGGGTTGAAAATTTGTGCCTACGTAAAAAATTCGGACAAAATTATTTCTAATTCAGCTTATTTTAAAAACACCAGGTACAAATACCTCTGTACGTGAAAACTCAATTTCAAGAGGAACCTGGCATCACTGGTGATTGCCTAAATGTAAGTGTCAAATAGCATTTTTCTTTGAAGTAGTACATCTACTTTTGTAAACACTATCCACAAAATTAGCCATCTGTACTTGTTAGCTGGGTAAAATATTTACAAGTGCATCCCACAACAAGCAGCTATGTACAGAGATTAAAAAAAAACTGAAGTACTACAAGTTGTATATTTACAAAATAAGCAAATTATTGTGAAGAGAAACACAACCCTCAGCAGGAGCGGGGAGCAAGGGCACAACAGAGGTCAGCAAGTTTGGCAGCTCCAGCGACACCTGCTCCAACTGCCACAAGGAGCCTGCAGACACCCCTGCGGCTGGAGCCCCCCCCCGCAGGACGGCAGGGGGCCGTCACTCAGTAGTCGCTTGGGCCTGATCCAGCAGAGCAGGCCGGTACGTGCCTGGGGAGCTGAGCCCTGAGCTCTGGGAGAAATCGGCGGGACTCAGCACAGGAGGAGCTCTAACACGGACCTAAAGTGCCTTGCTGGATCAGAGCCGCGCTGCAGGTGCCGTAAGAATGCGGTTTCAGTGTCTCCGTTCGCGGTTCCTTGCAACACGCCAGAGCAATGCAAGGACTTCTCTAATGCCTGTCCACCACAAGACTGACATGAGGTGGACATCTGGCCTCGCGCACGTGCTGGCAAGGAGGAAGCAGTTTCCTGAATTTACGTAAGGATCAACCGCTTCGTGCTTTCCCAGATGTTCAACTCTAATAGAACCCATAATTTCTTCGTGGCTTTGCAATAGCTCGGTTAACCTTGCAAAGGCTGCAAGCCAATTCACAGTTGAACAGAACTACTCTGATTTCACTCCCCTTCCCATCTCCCGCTGCAGTTCTTCCTAACGTAGCTCCTGTGCTGTTTTCTGGAACCTGTGGATGCTGAGCTTTGCACTGGTACACCAGAATACACAAAGGCTGAGTTACCCCGTGGGGGCTTCTAATCACCTTTGTACCGAACTGTGAGAAATCATATTCTTTTTGTTTCTATTGTGACACTCTCTTCCAAAGTCCTTACTTGGGCTTTCTCTCTCCGAGCTACTCCGTCTTAACCTCATTTGCTCTTTATTTTCATCGCTTTCTGCTTCAGAGTCACTCAGCTCCAAGTCGGGACAGTACCCATCATTGTCCTGGTACGGAGCCCCTTCGAGCGTCTGCTTGCTCCACAAGCGTTCTTTTGCTGTGAGCCTTCTCGTTGGCTTCTCACAGCACCGCAAATCTTCCGTTGTCCTCACCAGACTGTTAGTGGCCTCCTTAAAGGACCGGCTAAAGTGTTCGATGGTGGATTTTCTGAAGCCGCTCTGGCTGGCCAAATGAGCCGTCAGCACAGACTCCTGTTCAAAGGGCGTCTGGCTGGAGCTGTCCCTCTGGCTCACGTCGCCAGTCCTGCCCATCAGCCCATTGGATTTGGCCACCAGCCGCGAGCCATCCTGCTGCAGCCGCCCATTCCCGATGGAGGACTGTCCGTGCAGAGCAGCCTGCAGTGCCAGGGGCTTCCCTGATGGTTGGCCCCGGTGGAACTCTGGCACCTGCACAAGACCGGAGTCCTTCGCCTCGCCACGAGGCTTGCCGATCCCTCCTGTCACAAGCAACCCATTACTTCTGGTGTCGTGCTGATACCTGGGGTAAGATTTGGCTTTGATTTCAAATGCTTCCTTTGACATCGGCACGCTCCTTTTGCTGTAAACAGTGCTGTTGTTGTCAGGAGAGAGCGGTCTGTTGCCTGGCTTCAGCGAGTTATTTTTGCAATCTCCTAGTGCTGATTTGGGCATTTTTAACTTCAGGGTGATCCTGGGAGGTGGGTAGAACAGTGTGTTCTCTAGTGCACTTGTCAGGGTATGGCCTGTGTGAGAAAAAGATGAGGAAGCAGAAGATGAGAAGACTTTCAAACAAGAGGTAATCGCTTCTTTACCTGTAGGGTTTTACGGACTATGAGAAGGTCATTCAACAAGAAGCATTTGCAAACAGTGACTGTGAAATTATGTTAGGACATTAAAGAGAAGTCAGGCAACTGAAAACAGCTCCGTATCACTTACCAGCTCAGCATTTAGGTACGCATTTTAGAATTTTGATTAAAAACAATAACATCCCCTTTCATGGGACTTTAAGCCAGTGAATTGAAGCAGTTTTGAGACGTGACTGAAGTAGTTCCAACGGAATTATAAAAAGCTCACATCCAGCTTTGGATAGAGAAAAAACAATGCTTCAAGCTGAGTTGCACTTTGGACTTAGTTCAGTTCTCTGCTTTGTTTTATAAAATTCTCTGTTTTAAAACTCTTTTCACTCCAATATATTAGTCACTGTGATATAATGTGCTTGCATCACCACTGCAAAATAATTATCAAAACACTCTAATAAGCTTTAAAAAGTACTTGGCTTTGTCTTAGTAGACATTTCTAATAAAATCTCATTACATAAAACCAAAGAGCTTTATAGAGTACTGCTGCTTCCACCAAGTATTGTAGAGTCATAGAACGGCCTGGGTTGAAAAGGACCACAATGATCACCTAGTTTCAACCCCCCTGCTTTGTGCAAGGTCCCAGCCACCAGACCAGGCTGCCCAGAGCCACATCCAGCCTGGCCTTGAATGCCTCCAGGGATGGGGCATCCGCAGCCTCCTTGGGCAACCTGTTCCAATGTGTCACCACTGTCTGAGTGAGGGTGTGTCCTGGTCTCATCCAAAACAGTTAAAAAAACAAACAAAAACCTGTCAGTGCTAACAAAACTTATCCATGATTCAAGAGTAGTGAAAAAACACGAAGCTTTCGCTTTAAGAAGGTTATGGAAAACACAAGAAGTATCTTGAACAAACATCAAGATTTCTATTTCACGCTGCAGAAGCAATTACCTTCCTATTAAAAAAAAAATAAATGGCACTGTAATATATACTCTTTCCAAATCATAAAATATCCCAAATTGGAAGGGACCCATAAGGATCACTGGGTCCAGCTCCTGGCTCTGCATAGGACCACCCAAAGTTGTGTTCCTCATTTCAGGACACAGATTTAATAAAAATTAAGGGCGGAGTTTGTTTTGGTACAAAGCAGTTACTATTCACTGTTAGAAACAAGAGTGCTTAAACTCTTTTTGAAGGAAGTTTAGTAATTGCAGACCACAAGCTAAGAAATGCCCCTCCGTAACGCTCATCAAGTACTCAAGGCAACATGAGAACAGCAATTCCTATCAGTCACTCTTCTCTTCTGCCGGAAGAAATTAACTACAGCAAGCAAAAAACTTCTCAGTTGGAGAGTAGAGCTTGCTGTGGGCAAACAGCAGCATGAAACAGCGGCCCAATGAAGCAAAAACCTAGAGATCTCCATCAGTTTGTTTCTGCTTCCTGGATGCCACAGTAATTGGAAACTAACTGGCATATGGCAGCAGCATCTATGGAGTAAGAAGAGATCCAACTCAAGATTTTAAAACATCAGTGTTTGTGGATGTTGCTAAATTAATAAATGGTATATCCAAAGAAAGTTTTTATAAAGGCAGCTGTCAAACATTAAAACACTAAGCAGAAATTTAATGGGAACTTTTTTTTCAGTTTGTTGTAACCTATAAATATTTTACATTCATATGATTACCTGCAGCAATTTCCTGATTAATGAGCTGAACTTGCAAATTGAAGACCTGTTCATGTACTTTACTGTGAGACAGCTTCAGTTTCTCTCTCCTGCTTACCATGTAGCAGAGATTTCTTACCTGCAAAAGAAACAACACTCAGTATAAAATTAAAAAAAAAAATAAATCCTGACTTAGGAAAAATATTGGCTCAACAACAGAATTATAGAAACACTGTGAGCAAAATCCCTTGGCAAACACCTCATGAATGTTACTGAACAGATGTAACTATGAATATAAAACAAATCCTGCATTTTTTTTTAATTGCCAGTTTACTGAATGCCCTGATGAGACAGCAGAATGTATTTTCATACATTCTTCATGAAGAACAGAAAGGGAACACAAAATTCCAGTCAAAGGAAAAGCACATGATCTGTACAGCTTGTTTGTTTGAAGCCTACTTCCACCACACATTATGCTGGGGATCTTACTGCAGTCAATACTCACTTCTCCCAGAATTTCCTTGCAAAATGTTTCACAGAATGATTTTTAACAGCTAAATTTGTTCGTTTCTCCTAGGATTACTGTTACATTGGAAAGTAATACTTTTAACAAAGCTACTCAGTAGAGCTGGCACGCCTGGACTTTACGTTTACATGTCTGGAATTAACGTGTAAATACCCCTAAAAGAACGCTGCAGCTTCTTGTGCACTTTACACATTTTTGTTGATTCATTCAGCAGTTTATTGTCAGACTCCATTGCAATTCTGCACATATTTCTGCTTTCACTGTTGGAGTTAATAGCAATATTTCCACCTAGCGTAACGAAAATAGGAAGAGATGAAGAAAGTTGTGATACAGACCTGAAAGAGCCTGCAGAACACAGAAGCAGCACAGCGGCTGGCTGAAAGATACTTGCCACGTGTACTTCCCCCCAACACTTAACTTGAGCTGCTCAGAAACTGAAGCCTCTCTCCCCAGAAAGGAAATTCCAAGATTCCCAAATTAATTTTCACCTAAAGACATATCTGAATTGGAAATCTTACGGTGTGGGAAATTCAGAAACTTTGAGATAGATTTCAAACTACCAAGTCCCTCCACTCAAAGTAAACTCATCCATTTCAACACAGTCAGATATAAAACAACTACTCTTCGAACAAAAAGGAAAAGCTTGAAATGCTTTATTGAGAAAGCAGACAAAAAAAAACAAAAAACAAACCTTCCATTCAAAGCACATCATGTATGTATAGAATATACATACATAACATATTTAGGTAGGGAACAAATTCCTGCTCCAGATTTTGCTCAAGGACTCCATCTTTTCTGAATGCTGGCTAGCTGATAATCTGGTAAAGAGCCAAGCTGAATACTGGTAAAAAGATCATTTCCTTTTTACTCTACTCAGCAAAGCCGCAGGCAGTGCTAGGCCTGGTGGGTTGTTTTCCAACAGCTAACTAACTGTAGCATCCTGGGCAGCTACGTGCAGGGAAAGTGTCCAATTTAAGAGCATGAGATGTGATTCAGCCTTCCTTAACCTAGGGCTAGCTGACAACAGCACACTGTCAAAGAAGGGAGGTGAGTAAGGGGCCTGAATCAGGTGCCACGGGAAGCTGTCTGAGCACAAGCCAGCGTTCTTCTTCGTGTGTGAAGCCTCTACAGTAGTTAACCCAGGACTTCACCTAATTGCCCTTTAACTATGAGGGCGAGAAGGTCTGTTTCAAGTTTTTGCAGAATTCCTAAAAATGTTAAATCACACTCACCAAAGAATACTTGGTGCTTTACCTAGGCAAATTCAATTTACATTGAAATCGAAGAGTCAGTGCTCAAGTGCGTCCATTGTGCATGGATACAGACAGTTACATTATATAAAGGAGAATCCTCTAAGCAAGGCAGGAAGCGTGGTGCTCACAGTGGATCTCACTGAACTGAAAAGGGACAGCTCCTGAAAGTCTGCAACATGCAGCGTACCACCAGAACGGAGTTCAGGCCCTTACATTTCTATCATTATTATTTCATAAATCATCTCCCTGCGCTTCTCTCATCCCCCCTTTTGTTTGGACAAAGCTGCTGCTCACTTGCACATCGTTTTTGCTAGTTAAACTCTTACCCTCTCTAGGTCCTGCCTCAAATGCATAAACATCCTCATGCGAGTATGAATGCTATCTTCTTTTGGCTGCACCAAGCCATTTTCTTCATCCTCCTTGGGAGGAAACAAAGGTTTGTTAAAGTTACTTTTTCGCTTTAGCTTCCAGTAATTGTAGATGAAGTCTACAGCAAGTTTAGGGAGGCCCAGTTCTGCTGCAACATCCTCCACTTTAACCAGTGAGTAAAACTCTTCTTCCAGCTCCCGGAGTTTCTGGGCTCGCAAACTGGTTTTCTCACTCTCTGTTTGCTTCTGATCTGTTATGCTCTTGGGATGTTCATCAACATCAGGCAGCGAATTCTGTTTGTTCTTGCTGTGCTTTAGACAGTATGACTTGAATTTGACCTCATCCCCATCATCCAGGATAGTCTTCATCTCTAAGCTATGCTCAAAGGCACAGGTGACATGAAAGGCAGTGATGCAGCTTTTCACTGAACACTACAAATGAAAGACATAAAACAAGAAAGTCACTAAGGGTAGTCACAAACTAGGAAAAAAACATAATTACATGAAACTTTGTCCCTACAAAACCAAATTTAAGTACCCTGAAGAAGTCAGCTGATATTTCTAAGTCAGAATCACGTGATTTGTTATTTTTTCATCTGTGAACAGCATTCAGTGATTTCTGATCCAATTGGTGGATTTCTGATCCAACTTAATGCATCTCAGCCTCATTCAAAGGAAGGCAATTGATAGAAACTTCTCACTCTCTGTGCTAGACTGCTTAGGGAACCAATTTGTTAGCAGCCACAGTGATATGGATAGGGAGCTATCCAACAGTTGTCTTCACTGAATAAAGTTCAAAAACCTTAAAGTCCCCATCTTGCAGACTCAAGAGTCACAGGAAGACAAGTACGTACCTGAATGCAAGCACCGGTTTTCAGTTTGCATAAACTACACACTAAAGCCCATCGACTTGGTGGAATGTGAGAGACCTTTGTGATCGGCTCCATCCTTTCTGGGCAAGCAATACTAACCTGAAAATAAAAGACAGCATGGAAAGCAGTTATCAAGGCAATAAAAACAATCTCTTCGCTAATACCAGAAGTATGACTGTGAGTATGACCGCCATTTATCTCATTCAGAGATCTCTGTGTGCTCATACTTCATAACAAGTGACTTGAGATTCCACATGAACAAAACAATATTGTGGAATGCAATTAGTTTAACCTGGTGGCTAGAAGTCATCGTTTTTCAGAACGTTTTAGGCAGCTACAGCATGCCTTGTTATGAACCATTTAAGAGACTGCAGCAAGTGATAGCAAAGTTTATTCCCTTTCAATTCTGTCCATCTACTCACTCTGATAAAAATTTATCAGCCAATATTTGCCCATATTGGGAAACTAAGACTGTCCTCTATAACTTGGACACCAAAACAGATGAAAATTATCTCCTTAGTCATCCCCAAGATGCTCCTGAGCAATAGGATTTACCCAAGGGCAGAACAAAATTAGTCAGCTCTGAGTGATCAACATGCAGAAGTGGGTCAGTAACCAAATGGCACGTGGCAGAAGACTTCGGTGACATAACTGCTCTGCCCCAAGGATGCCAGTTTCCAGAAGCTTGGATTTTGGATGCTTACATAAAGATCAAAAATCTTTTGAATACAGTGGTTGTACGCTAGGGAGGGCTCCCTGCCTGAAACAGAAATACGGCGCTTCATCCAGCTACAAAGAGCTCCACGCTTCTTACCAACAGTTCACCTGTTTTGCCACTGGTGGGATAGGGGCCTCTTTGCAAAGGTACTTCAGCTATCACCTGATGCACACATTAATTTTAAAACCTGCTTAATCCCCGATGAAGAAAAACTTTGTTTCACCAGACCTCCTCTGTGAGGCAGGCATTGCCAAAGATAGCAATGCCAACTTTAGCAAGCCTGAAAGTCCAAGCTGCTACTCCCAAACTGAGTATTTTTGACACTCTCTCTTTCCTATCTTTTTCACTGTTTTGAACAACAGACAATTAGGTGAGAAAGAAAGCTTTGCAAGAGATTACTCCATCCATTATTTTTGCATTTTAAGAGGTTGATTAGTAGTTTCTAAACCAATGACAAAAATTGACTCCAATAAGATTTGTTATATAACTTAAACCAAGCCATATTTTCTGCAATATGCCAAGGTCAGCCAGTGTTGAATGGCATTCCTATTTAGCCCAGTGACAATTGTGTGCACCCATCTCTGATCTACAGCGTCCAGGAGGCCCCTAGCAGCTGCACTCAGCCTTCTCTTTGGCCAAAACCAGAGTCAGAAAAATTCTTGGGGAAAAACAACAGGACTTTGCACCTAAAAAATGGGCAGGCAGTATGCAGTGTCCTCATCAGGTAGAGATGAAGAATAATTTCATTTGTTGAGGACTTCCTATAAATCAGCGGGAAAGAGACAAAGCTGTCCTTGAAACTCTTGAATGGTTCCACAAATTCAGGTTCAGCACTCTTAAATGGCAAAGGTAGCTTTTCTGCTTCCAAATTGACCAATCCAACTTGACCCTGCTAAGAACAGAGCTGGTTACAAGTTGTACAGGTACTTCTAAAATAACATTGTACAAACATTGACCACAAATCTTGTTTCATTTACTAGAGCAGTAGGTAAGATTTCCCTTGGGAATTATGGGGTTGCATCAGTTTCCATGTTGCCTATATACCTTTAAAAAAGTAACCTGAAATGTCAGTGATTTTTTCTGCAGGCAGTTGCACCAGCTTTTCACTGTGCATACCAGCAGGAGTTGGAACTCACACATACTCTTCTTGTCACTCTTTGCCCCTTTTCATCCTCTCCCTGCTCCTTCTCCAGAAATATTTATGTTAGAAATATTGCCCATTCAGCTTGCAATGCTGCCTGTTTATGTTACTCCACTTTGTAAAAACACAAAGAGGTGCTTGGAGTCAGGTGCAGTTTATTTATACTGGCCTCCTGCCGCCTGCATGTTTCTAACGTTCAAAGAGAGGAGTCAAAGCAAAGCCTGTTCGAATTTCACTGTTCATGAGGGATCCAGAGAGCACAGAAGCCAACCTTTCCACTTCCCAAAACCTCCCATCCCGAGACAGAAATGACCGCCTGCCTTAACACATAGCTTCTCTGTTATTTCTCCGTGTTGTGTCCGGTTACACTTTGTCTGCCATACTCTAAGAAGTAACAGTGAGAGAGAGTGAGAACAGCGGGCTGTTGAAGCCTGCTCTCTCCAATTTACGCACAGAGCTGACATCTCTGTTGTCACCCTGCTATCTGCTGCTCCGCTGATGGCCTGCCACCAGCAGCTGTGTGTTAGCGGGCAGTGATCCGCACCAGTGGCTGGGGAGGCACCCCAGCAGCTGGAGCACAGCCACTCACAGCAGCGGCTGAAGGCGGTCATTTGATAGTTCTGCAGCTGTAGCAAGGAAAAATTACTATCTGCTTCAGCCAACAACGCACCGACCAAGGGAAGACGTATCTGCCATCCGTCATCTAAGGCAGAGAAATGAATTTCAAAACAACGTAAATTTTCTGATGTCAAAGTCTCTCCCTTTTTTCCAAGAATATCTTTTAAGAAATCACGGAAGAAGAGACAGGTTTACACTAACAGACAATGCTGGCAGAAGAATAAAAAGGATAAAAATCAACAATGAATACGCTTTGTAAAAACCTTCAAATGTCCCAAACTCACTGAGGGTCAAGACAGCCTTCCCACACCATTAGCTCACGAGGAGAGGGAGGCAGGGAAGAAACAGAACAAAACAAAGCATTCTAAGAGGGTGCTGAATATATTGGTGATGGGAAGTACCTGGTGCAACTGCCTACAACAGTGCTAGCCTGTATTTATGAACTCACTCAAGTCCCTCTTGGATCTTTTACCACAAACATGAGGATGGCCCATTTTCCTCTGCACTCTGCCTTGCTCCATTTTGCTAGGGGTGTAGTGGGGGAAGTGGCAGTGACTTTATTATTTGTTTCTTTGTGGGGTGTTCCAGGAGAGTAAACATTCTTCCATAAGGTATTTCAAGGTCTTGAAAACTCTGTCCCTTTCTAGTCTCCCAGAGCACATAAAGCCATGGTGTCTCTCCACATAAGAACCCACTGTTTTAGCGGAGATTCTCAAAAAAAGGCCAGGCTTCTCTGGTGACGGAATTGTAGTTCATTTTGTTTTTAAAAGCACCACGTGCAGAAGAAGAGGCTGAACGGATCTAAGAGGCATTTCCCACTTCTCCTGGCAGGTGCCACCTCCTTGCTATGCCTGACACACTTGGCATGGGCACAGAGAGGAGGAGGTGCCTGAGGCCTGGAGCCATTGACTGGGCTGTGGGAGCAGCTGGATTCAAGCTCTCCCACCTGGGCAACTCTGCTGGCTGCTCTCCCTCAGCCGGAGGGAGGTGGGCAGGTAAGAAGCAGCAGGTGCTCCCTGTCCCATGGTCAGCTGCTTTCCAAACCTGCCAGTTCATCTCCTACTGGGGAGAACATCAAGGCAACCACATGCAGAAAGAACCTCTTAGGGAAACCAGTCTGCTCAGAGCTAGGACAACTTCCAGACAAGGCACTTTAGGAGTGCATGAGGAGAAGGCAGGAGACTTTTATTTATTCATTTTAATCTTTTTTTGTTTTGTTTTGTTTTTTTCCTCTGCTCCTTTCTCCCTAAAGGTGGGTGAGACACCAGATCTACAAGCTGGCCTGAAGGGAAAGCAGAACTGCAAAGATAATGATAATCAGATATATGCCTGGCACAGAGCTAGGAGCTGCGCACCGCAACAGGCTGCCATATTAAAAAGCCATCCAGAATCTTGACATCTTCTTTGTGAAGTTTTGCAAATGCAAGGCCTGGCTGCTTGAGAGCAGAAGGTTTGGGAATAAGGCACCCCGCAATGTCATGGTGCCAACAGATGTGGCTGCAACCTCACACTACGCCATTCACTCTAAGGGATCTACGGATCTTACCAGAAGGAAAGCACAAATATCATTCTGAGTACAAAATTAGACACACACATCCTCTATACCTGAATGACTATTTCAATTTACAGAATTATAAATGATGCTAAATCTGATTCTAAATAGAGGAAATGCAAACTTTCATCATTAAGCTCTATATATGAACACAAACATCAATCTAAATAGTCATTCTTAAAAAATATAACACAGAAGAAAAAAGCCTCATTTCTCCACCATTCAGGAAAATGTCTGATTTTAGTGCAAAGAACTTGTCTACAAACATCTCCCCATCTTAGAATCCATCCAATACATCATAGAATGGCCTGGGTTGAAAAGGACCACAATGATCATCTAGTTTCAACCCTGCTGCTATGTGCATATATATCATCCAATGATGATGTGTGATATATATCATAAAATATGCCTGGTTTTTTGTCTCAAAAAAAAAGAAAAAACAAAAAGGACGTATTCAGTACAAATTATATACCTAACCAAGAGCACACAAACTGATCAAGAACTAAGGGAGATAAGGATGTGCAGTTGTGCTTACATCACTAAACCTTTCCAGCAGGTCACTCAGATCTCATGACACCATGAAGAGACTGCTCAGTAAACGGGGAAGGACAAAGAGATTAATTAATTAATGAACATGAGCTGGACTCTCTCCCAATCCTCAACAGATTCTGCAGACTCACCAGAATAACACCCATGCAGATACCTTAAATCATGAAAGGTGAAAAGGTAGAGGAAGGAACACTGAGAAGGCAGAGAAAGGAGATTAGAATACAAAAGAATGAGACAGAAATTCAGCTTTACCTCTGGAATCCAGAGAGCACAGCTCACATGTGCCCACTTGGTCCCTGTCCTGGTGGCTTTCATTGCACCTCCTCGTTTTGGACACAGGAGGCACTGAGGATGTATTCCCAGAACACAGGTGCGGCACAGCCAGCTCCCTTCAGGGACTTTCAAGATTCCATAGCATGCCTTGGAAGAGCACAGGGATTGAGATCATTGCACTGATAGTATTTTACATCCAAAGATTAATTCTCATAAGGCACGAAGCTTACAAATCCTAAAAGCACAGTTTGCCCTTTACTTAATCTTTCTCTAATTTCCTTACAAGGAGTCAGGTGATCAAAGAGATTGCCAACCTATTAAAACAAGCCTTTTCATGCCAGTTTATTTTTAAAACATGTCTTGGTGTTATTTGTTCCTGTATGAAACAGCCATTGTAACTGAACACTGGTGTTACAACCTTCACCTTTGCATTCAGTGTCTTTTTATGTTTCTGAAGCAAAAAACAGGCATCTCTTTAAGCTCATAGTCTTCTACTGTTAACAACTTTACGCTCTAATGTTATTCTATTCAGATGTGAAGTGATAAGAACTGTTTGAAGATTCTTTCCTGTGACATTAGATTACTTTTGTGGTTACAGTTCTGAGAACCGTTTGTGACTTCAAATATTTACATATAATATTGCCTCAAAAATTACAACAGTATATTCTGAAATCATGAGGTTCTGCTTTTTACGCCTGTTTCCCTGAGGCCTCTTAGAAACTGAGAGATTTATTAACTTTTACTGAGTTTGAAGATAAAAATGAAACTTACGTTCAGGTTCAGGTTCCTAGCAGTTCTTAACAGCCAACTATACCTGCACTAGACACATCCTGCTGCATGGACACACATATTCAAGCTGACCATATTTGAAACCATTGGTTGCCAAGGTGCAACTCCACTCAGCTGCCCCCAATAACAGCTTTATCAATAAAGATTTCAAAGGAAATAACACCATTCCCAACACATACCAGGGAACAGTAACATTGAAAGCCTTGACAGAAGATTATTAGCTATAACCCAATCTCTTAGATTCAAATAGAGTACAAATTCCCCATGCTTGCTTTCCCAGCCTTCTAGCTATAGGATGTTGGTACTTAATGTGAAGAGATGTCCAATATTGCACAATCATGCTATGCTGAGAGGGAGAGTGAGTTCCCTGAATGAAATCCTGCATTACGAAAGCATCAAGTCAGACTAACCCAAATGTTATTTTCATGTTTGACTGTTGCAAAGGCCCAACAGGGGGAGCTGTAATCTAAATTTTACAAAAGATTTTTATTTCCTGCTAAATGGTACATTCTCATCAACACTTTATATTACCAATTGCAAGGTTTGGAAGGGACTTCTAGAGATCACTGAGTTCAAGTGGCACTACACCAAAAGAACACTTTTAGGAGGCTGGAAATGGACATACAACACTTCCTAATTCAATCCAGCTAGTAAGTGGAGGTGGTCTAGACTAGAAAACCAGTAATTTAGCAATCTGAGCCAGCATGAGAGGGCACTGCGAGGGAGGAAACCTCACACACTCCTCTGCATCTCCAAGTGGTGTTCTGACAAACAGACCGAGGCTGCTTGGTGAACTAGAGCCCATCCAGAATTAAACCTGAACTGATAAATATTTTTGGTTGGTTGTTTGCTGCTATGCTTTGTTAGGATTAGCTCCAGCCCAGCTTCTGCAGAGCAGGTCCAGATCCTGTGGCTGGGGAAGAGGCAGAGTTAGAAAGCAGCAGGCCATCAGCTCCAGCTCTGCAGGCAACCCCAAGCCTTGTGCTGCAAATTCCTCCATATTTTCAAGGGGCACAAGCAGGGACTGCCTCTGGAGCCAACAGCCCAGCTGTAAAATTCCTTCTCAAACAGGATGCACTAGAAACCACAGGGCTCAAATCCACTTTAGTTATGAGGATACCTCTGCCTGATGAGGCTGAGCTCAGTCTGTGCGAAGCCCTGCCTACATCTGAAACACCACAACCATGAGCAGCATTCAGACTGAGAACACAGCTCTTGCAGGTGCTTGTGCCCTCTAAAAAAATCAGTCTGTTAACACATCTAAACACATGGTTTCAAGTGGCTAAATTTGGAGCCAATTAACCAGTCAACCAATGAGAGAAATGCCCCAGCTGCAAAACAAATGATCTTTTAACATATAGGCTGCTGCCAGCATCCTCTGGCCTGTTTATTTACAAATGCATGTTTACTAAGGATGTGGAGGGGAAGTGTTTATGATTGTATTTGCAAGTCGAGACAACACTTCACGTTACAGCTAGGCTACACAGACTATGCTCAGCCATTTATCTGCTGTAATTCTCAGAGTACAAAACTTGACCTTGGTATTCTACATCACCTTTCGTATCCAGAGAATCACAAAGGCCTCCAAATTAATACTGATTCAAATTCCACACTTGCCAAGGTAAAGAAAGACAGGGCAGCGTCAATACTCTGCAGGCACTGACCTGATGGACGCAGATATTACACTTGTCACAAAACACCATATCGTTCCCATCTTCACTGTCAGGAGAGCGGCACACGTCACAGATGACATCTTCATCGTACTCTATACCCAGACCTTCTTCAGTCTCAATAGCGTGATTCATATTCTCATGACAGTGTCGCTCCAGCACTTCAATAGTTTTTTCCATCGTGTTTTCATCCAGGGGCCCGCATCCTACAGTGCAGAGTAGGGAAAAGGGAAACAGAAAACACTCAGATGCCTCTGACCAAGTTTGAGAGGCAGAAAAACAGGACAACTTCTAGCGACTACTGCAGTACAAACATTACTTACATCAAAAATAAAGGAATCTTTTTTCCAGCTCGCTTGCTAATATTACCTCTACCTCATAAATACAAATAGAACTACTACTGGAGTAAAAGTTTGAGTTGTACATAAGACTACATGTTGAAAAAAGCATTAGAGCATGAAAGTCAGCAGCTTCTATAACTTCTTGCTTCTCTCATGCAAGTCTGCCTCCAACTCCATCATTCTAGGAAGCACTGATGACTCAACATCATACACAATGTTCTTTATTCTGAAGACAAATCCCTTAGCAAATAAAACTTACCAAGTACATGTTCAATGTTATATGTTATCAGTACAATGTTATGAAGATATAAAAGTTGCCATCAGTCCTTGAGCGGCCAGCACAATGCATATGAAAGGAGCTGTTATCCATTTTTTTTATAAAACAGTAAATAAATGCACTGTTAGCAATCCATGGCACCCATTTACTTGAACACTATGCCTGCTATACCCACTTACCACTAATAAAATGCAGTGTAAGCAGATCTACTTGAAAGGATTTGTTTTGAGATTGATCCCTCAGCTTGCAGCTGTAGAGACACCCTTAGAAACTCTACAATGTTCACAGCTACAAGAAATCTCAAAGTCACATCCCCTGAAAAACATCAGTCACAAATGCTGCCATCTCCTATTGTACAAAATTTACTTAGACTAGCAAAGGTTGGGACATCCATGCAGCACTGACACCAGAGGCTAACACCACTGTAACTGCTGGATTATGTACAAGAATACATGTACTAATATTGATTTCTTGTTACAACTGATAAACAATGAGATTGAAAAGATAAATGATTGTTGATATAAAGTGTCTGTTATTAAACTGTTTTCTTTAATGCCAGGATATTTTTTCACTCCTCTTATAAAAAGAATCAGAATAATTCAGGCAGGTACAGACCTCAGAGGGATTCAGTCCAGCTCCCTGCTCCAAGCAGGATCAACACTGAATCCAGATTAGGTTGCTCAGTAACATCTTTAAGTCAGATCTTGAAAATCTCTGGATGGATAGAGACTCCAGCCCCAGAAAAGCTTTGGTTTTGAAAACAGCACCCAATATGGCTAGGAAGCCTGTCCTCACACCTGCCTTTAACATACATCATTTGGCTGTGGAGCTCTGTCATGAGCTCCCTCCTTTACCACGTTGGTCTCCTGACACATCTATTTGTTTTCCTGAATGCCTGGATGATCATTCTTGGGCTTGGAAGAGACTGTCCTTAAAGTTTTGCTAACTCTATCCAGCAATTTCACTCTTCAGAGCTGTCTTGCAGCAGCATATCCAACCCAGCAGTTCCCCAGATAAGCAGAAGATTGTTCTCCTAAGTCCAGGACCAGAAGCTACTTTCTCTCTTTGCTGCCCTCAAGATCTCAGTCTCCACTATTTCATAGCTGCCACAGCCAATGCCACCACCAATTAACTCATCCCAATTAGCTCTTCCTTCTTCATGAATAGCAGATTCAGGAGATGTCAAATAACTCTTTTTTCTACCTGTCCTTCATCAAGAACCTGCACTCACCCATGGAAGAATGTCAGTCAAACAGGCTATCCTATCACAGCTTGGCTAATCCAGCAGCAAAACCTAATTACTCCTTTAAGAAAAAGGCATGTTATAGCTCCTCACAACTCTGTATTTTGCAGCAATAATATGCTCTATTTTTAAAAATGGAAACATCTGTTTTTTCTATGCAAAATTTTTAACTTTTAAAGTCCTAAAACTAATTCCACTTGGTGTTGGCTTTTTCCCTCGTGTGTCAGTCTGCAGAAGTTGCACATAATTTTGGATGTGAAGAAGTTTTAAGGCACAAAAGGCAAAAGAAAACACTAACTGAGCTA